GTTTGCTGTGACTTCTGTGGGACTGCGCTACACTGGGTGAAGCTCAACACTGAAAGTCTTTGCAGGTTTGGTCACTTATTTCAGGCAGGCAATTCTTTTCTGGCCTAAAGAAAGTGATTTTCTTTACAATTTCTACAGGAGTAAAGCCCACCACTATTTTGAAAAAACAATTATTAAAAAAAAAACCTGACAGCAACATCCTCAAATGCTACAGCTGACAGTAATTTTACTGGTCATCTTTTCATAAGGGTTCTGTTGGAAAAAATTGTATGTTCCTAGACAGGACAGAAGATGATGACAAGAATACCGATTAGGATAGCAAGCAGGAAAAAGCAACAAGGGCTTATCTTTGCCCCTGGATAGTGCTGTCTCCTTTTGAAACCATATTAATTGAAGCTGTAGGAAGAGTACACAAACTGTTAACCTTAGAAGAGCATACACTACAGCGGTGCACTGTTAACCTTACAAGAGTACACACTACAACAGTGCGTTTTCTTGGAAGAGATTGAAAGAAGTAACAGTCTCACTGTTCTGCATCATCAGGTAAAACACAGATCCTCTTCAGACTGGGCACAGTTTGCCCTGCTGTTTACCAGCCCTGAGTGTTTATGCCAGTGTGAACATATCTCAGGAGGTGATAAAATGCTGAATGTGATACTTTGTTTAGTCTAGGGTTTAATCACTGTGAGCTGGCTCAAGGCTGAATGCTTGTCCTAGTTGAATTGAGTGCTAACCTGTTGTCAGCTGTGATGTTTGTAAGTGTCTTAAATAGTAATATTATAGTGTAGGAATGGTTTGTGTGGGCATGTGCTTGGATTATAGAAGATTCTTCAGACAAAACCAATTATATTCATATTCAATGAAGATGAAAAGGAAAGATGCAAATGTATAAGTAGTAACAGAAAATGAGTGCTTTTGAGAGTCCATGGTGAATAAGGATTCTGAAATTGCATATCCTGTAGGACGAGAATACTTATGGTGTCCTCCTGACAGAGAAAGACAGGTAGCTTTCAGGATTGTGTTTGCAAATAACTCTAAGAGAAGAGACTGCTAAAAATTCCAGCTTTTCATCCTGATGGGTTGAACTGCATATTCCATACTACCTTGTATCCAAGGGAAATTTAAGAAATTAAAATTAAAAAGAAACTGTTTTGTGCACCCTGCATCCTCTAAGGAAGACTGAATGGACTGCTGGTTTGCCAAGACATGTTTTCCATTGTGGACAAATCAGATTACTGCTGTTGTATCCCATCTGCAAAACAGAAATGTTATTTCTTCAACTTTTAGATATTTGCAAAGCTAAAGTGACAAACGTTTGTAATTTGCTTTGAGATTCTTGGGCACAAAATTTTCTGGTACTTTTTTGGTAAGTACTAGGGCTTACTCATATGAATAATGATTTCCCAGACAGGCTTTATCTTCTATCAAAGACTGTAAGAAACTTAAGGCTAGGAAAAGGCAGCTTACTGAAAACCATAATATGTATTTGACAGTCATATCCCTTCTGAAGATTTGCATGTGTTTTACCTTCAGGTTTATAACATCCTGCAGCAAGTCATCACTTCAGCCTAAAGATCTGTGGAAGAAATAAGTAATACGTGAAAGTGGATGAAATTAAATTTTACATCTGTTCACTTGGGACCCTGATGAGTGATACACGGGGAGAAGTAGAAGATGGTGAATTTCACAGAGAATGCAACTGAGAATTGCACTATTAATCACGATATCCACCAGACATTATCCCCTGTGGTATACGTATTTGTATTTATATTAGGCTTGCCAGCTAACTGCCTGTCCCTGTACTATGGGTATTTACAGATCAAGACTAAAAATGAATTGGGTATATACCTTTGCAATTTGACTGTAGCAGACCTGCTCTATATATTTTCTTTGCCTTTTTGGCTTCAGTATGTTTTACAGCATGACAATTGGACATACAATGAGCTGCTGTGCAAAATATGTGGCATCCTCTTGTATGAGAATATCTATATCAGTGTGGGCTTCCTCTGCTGCATCTCCATTGACCGCTATCTTGCAGTAGTGCACCCTTTTCGGTTTCAACAGTTTCGGACAATGAAGGCTGCTGCGATTGTGAGCATTGTTATCTGGACCAAAGAAATAATGACGTGTTGCTTTGTCTTTACGCACGGGGAGATCAGTATGGATGCCGAGAGCCACGTGGTGTGCTTCGAGCATTACCCCATCAAAGAATGGGAGCACAATGTCAATTACTACCGTTTCTCTGCTGGCTTCCTTTTCCCCTTCTTTCTGCTGGCCTTCTCTTACTGTGGGATTTTACGAGTTGTCCACAAGAGCCACGGCACTCAAAAGAAGAAGAAAATACAAATTAAACGACTGGTTTCAAGCACTGTTTTCATTTTTTTAGTTTGCTTTGGACCATACCACATCCTACTTGTGGTTCGCAGCTTGTTGGAGAACAACTGCTCTTTTGCTGAGAAAATATTTAATATTTACCACATTTCTCTCCTGTTGACTACTTTTAATTGTGTTGCTGATCCAGTGTTGTACTGTTTTTCCAGTGAAAGCACTTACCAGAACTTTGCCAAGATGCGGGACTCTTGTTTAACATGTTTAGGGTGTCTGAGGACTGAGACGAAGGAATCCTATCCGCTGAATGCGCCAGAAACTCCCAACAGGCCACAGCATCAGCAACAGCCAGGGTTATTACAAATATCACCCGATGATACTAGAATGAAGGACTCCTCCACAACTATCATGGGTAGCCTATAGCGCTCATTAAAGAAGAACATTAATCTAAAAGCTGCAGCTATGGTCCTGCTCGTGTATCCATCTGATTTATCCATGTATTACAACAGTGTTACCTCCCAAGGGCTTGTTAGCAATGCAGTACAGTGAGGTCATTTCTGGAGGTGCTTGGACCTTGGCAATAGTGAAGAAAGCCCACGCTAAGTCAGTTCAGTTACAATCACGTGTCTGAGGTCATTGTGGTGCAACTCAAAACCTGTTGTCTTGATGACTGCATTGACTGGAATAAACTAGTACTCGTGGTGTGTGGTTCTGCTGAATTTGTCTTTAACTGCTTTCTGTTTGCTCCTGTAGCATCTAGAGAAATTAATTCTCTACAAGCTGTCGTCATCTGTCGAAAAGGTTGGAGGCAGAACAAATTAAATGTCCCCATATGTACTTTCAAAAAGAAAAAAGAAAATAAAAATGCGTTTCTGCAACATTTCTATAACTCTGAAATAACTTCTCCTTCAGCCACTTTCAAGGCCTGCAGAGACCATGCCAGAACCAACCTCCTACAACAACCAATCCAATAATTTGAGGCGTTCTGGGAGAACATGCACAAGGAACTCAGCATCTGCAGAGAGCTTCAGTTTGTTGATTGACTGTTGAATCTCAGACTGTTGTACTTCATCATAAGGCTCCTGTTGACTTCCAGAGGTATGAGAACTCTTGGCTCTGATGGGGATAAATAATTTGATCTGGTGACTTGGAAAAGAACAGGAGGTTGGCAATACGTGAGGCACTTTGAACCCATGTGCTTCTCTGAGTCACTGTGTTCAAAGACAAATTTAGTTACATCTACATTCTACTACCCCTTGCTAAGGTTTTGATTGTCCTTCGCAATTCGTGTGTCTTGTGCAGCATAGACCATGCAGGCAAGTAAATAACAATGGATTTGTCAGGGAAACTGTTAAATGGATTCTGTTTAAACTCTGTTTTCTCTCATAGGTACTATAGATTGGGGTTTGGTCACTGCTCAGTAAATACAGTATCTGAAATGTGATGTATGAATGATCTATGTCTCCTGGTTTAGACAGAAACAAAACACAGGAATAAGCGGAGTTAATGGCAGTTAAAGATGTGGGAGTTGTGCTCTCTAGTATTGTTTCTACTACCATCTCCACTCTAGGGTTTTTTCCCCTTTACTGTAGTAATGAATCCCGTGTGATTGTTCTTTGTGGTCTGCTCATCATACCTTCTTGTACCTGTAGCTGTTACACCATGAATATTGCCCTGTCCTTTCACTCCTTTGGTTTCAAACCTTTGTTGAAACACCTCTGTTTCTGTAACCTGGAGCTGATAACGTCTATAATCAGTTTTGTTTTGTTTTTGTTTTTGTTTTTTTTTTAATGTGAAAAGATTCACTAGACAGACAGCCTAGTCCTGGTATCTGAAGTATGTCGTTGTAACACAGCTTGGCTCGTCATCAGTTTTTAAAATTAATATATTCTAACAGTTTTCTGGAAAGCACTTTGAGAGTGCAATATTAGAAATAATTAGGGGATGTGTTTAATAAATAATGTTTTTATTATTTTCTTCCTATATTTGTTCCTTCTGTGTTTGAAATAATTATCATATGGCTTTGACTCACAGTTTCTATTTGTGAGACTACAGATCCTCTCCTCCTTCCTCTTGCAGAAAGGATTCACGTCCCCACTCCCTGGGGTGGATTAGGTTTGCATAGGTTAACATTTGGTTTGTTTAATTATTTTCTATTTCTTGTATACTTAGACCAGTCACCAAGCTGGATTAATTACCTTACATATGCATTTTTTTCTTGTGACTATTAGTGCTGTTTAGCTTCACTTTTCTTCTCCTGTCTGTGTCAGCAGGGGTGTAAGGCAGGGACTCCCCCCTCCATAATGCCCTGCTTGTGTGTTGTTGAGCACCGAGCCAGCTACTTGCACTGCCATGACCTGGCAGGCTGTACGACACACACAGAGTTTCTTCTAGGATGAAATATTTGTTGTCTTGTTTATATTTTACTTCTTTACAGTTACCCATCTTGTTTAAATTAGATGGAATGCAGAGCATGCCATGTTACGTTGAATTGTCATCTGAGGGATTAAAGTTTATTTGAGTTGGTACTTTGATGTGGTCAGCTTTTGGTCAGCTGCTGCAGTTTAAAATCAGATGGAAACTTGTGTCAAGGAGTCCAGCATTCTGCTACAGTTCTCAGCAGTTCACCTTCTAATCTGAAAGAGAAGAGGGGGTGTTTCTTTCTTTGTTTTTCTGTTTTTTATCTAAACTGTCTATATGATAACTGTTAGGCTTAGACTGCACAACTGTAACCAATATGGAAGGAAGGTAACCCCCGCTTAGAGCATTTCTTTCCATCTCAGCCGGAATATAGTCAATCAAGGGTCCTACTATGGTTGCTAGAGATACCCTACATGTTGATACTGGATTAAATACAGTGCTTGGGATTGAACACAAGAAGGGATTTTAAAAACACACATTAGAGGAAAAAAACAAATAAATTATTACATTTTTTTACTTCTTAATGAAATCTGACCGTGAAAACTTGTATTTTGGTGAAGAAAGAGTAAAAGCTTACTAAATGAGGGTTTTTTTGACAAAAGTCAGTGTTTGGAAAGAATAATATACATTGCACCTGTTGGTGTAATATGTCAGTAAGCTACTGACCACATAGCACACAGGGAAGGAAATCAGCTGCCTTGTTTTCCCAAAAAGACATTTTTAAATTCTGGCAATTTAGTTCTGTGGGTTCTGTGCAACAGTGAACATATGCCATTCTGATGGGTTGTTGGCTTTGGCAAAAAGTTTAAGCCTTCATATGAAATATTTTACTTAATAGTTACAGTTTGGAGACTTCTAAAGGAGCTATTTTCTAATTGTGAAATTTCAAAGATAGTTTTACTGCAACATCCCTCAAGAAGGCTTAATGGCTGATCCATAAAATCAACATTGGGTGCTTTGGTGAATCTGAATGTTTAGCAGCAAGTCTGGCAATAAGATTTCTTTCTCTCACATGCGTTCATCTGTTTTAAGTCTTTAAAGACTGTGTATCCTCAAGGATTTCAGAAGATTAATGTTCAAAGTATGCTGGTATATGTGGAACAAACTGTCTTTTCTCATTCCCAAAAAGTTATGTGTTTGTCTTACATAAGAAAAGGAAAATAAAACTCACCTGCCAGAAAGAAAAGTAGATACAAGGTATTGCTGACTGCTGGAAATCCACTGTCCTTTGGAAAAAGCAGTGGCTAAACACAACTGCCATTCTCATCTTGTTAAACACAATGGTTTGATGCTTGCCTTTTGTACCGTTATAATCATTTCATGACAGCTAAAGCATCAGTGCCTGAGAGGTGCAGTGGAAAATTTACCCTATCCTCTCTGCTGCAACGGCTGACAACTAGCAGAACTTCAGCCCTGACACTCATCGTGAGTTAAAATAAAATTACAGCTTTAAATGACAAAAGTCAGGCACAGTTCACAACCATTTGTCATGTAGTGGTTTGGTGTTAGTAGGCTTTTGAGATATTTAGTTTTGCTTCATTTAATTTCATCAGGAACTGAATGTCTATAACTGGAATTCATCTCAATGTTAATTTACATAATTTTATTTCATACTGAATGCAAATGTTTTAAAATTTCTAATCATGCTTTAATTTCTAAGCATTGTTTTTAATCACTATTTATGTATTTAATTCATTTATTCTTAACAACAGGATACCCTGAAATGTCTACACCTTTCTGTATTACCCTTCTGTATTACAGAAAGGGACAGAATATATAAATGGCAAACTACTAATACAAAGGAGGCAGATGGTAGAGCCTACCTTTTACAGGGAAGATCTGCAACGCTGCCTTTATTTTCATTAGCTCAGTTAAAGCTCTTCCCTTATCTCCTCACACTTCCACAAACTATCCTCCACCAAAAGGAGACAGTGTTAGAGAAGCGTGCAAGAGGGCTGTATTTAACAACTTTCACTACTGTAACAGTGACTGGGTTTTTTTGTTTTGAACATCCCCTCTCCACTGCAGCTGTTTTCCCCACCACAAGGTATTTTTAAATCCAAGTTGCTACAAGAGTTACTTCCTGTTACAGTTATGAGGTTAGTAAAACAGGAACAGCAATGCAATAATATTTCATTTTAATGACATGCTTTCTTTGTAAAATCCAGATCACCTCTTAGTATTTAATATAATTTAATATCCATTATCCATTATAATATTATAGAAAAGAAAGGTAGACCAAATCATCGTGATGGTATCCCCTTCTCGCTTCACAGAGATGTTGTAAGGGTAACAATGAAAGGTTGCGCATGCCAAAGATACCAGAGATGAAAAGTAATCTTTTTCTGATCTTTTATACCTTGTGAGAGCCTAGGGAATAAGGAAATAACATCGGAGCAACTCTTGATATAGCAATCATTAGGGGCAGTCACTGCTGTGCTTCTTGCAGCAGCTTTTCAATCATAAGTGAATGGGTGTTGTAGAAGGGCAGCCCGTCCACCTCCATCTCTAAACTGGCAGTTTTTCCACTGCGGACCCCATGCTTCACGAGTGTTTTCAGAAGCTTTTCTTCCTTAAAAAACAAAGAAATATAATGTAATTAAAATCCTGAATCAGACAAGAGCATTCATCAAGACCTTTATTTTAATTCCAGGGGAGACTGACCGCATCCTCCATATTTGTTTTGACAGCAATTTGCTAACATCTTTTATTGTCTTGTCCGAAAGAATATGTGTAGCATCTGGAACACAGAGAGTGTCAAAAGGCTCATATTCTTGACTGCTGTTTAATTACTGAATAATATTATTGTTCTCCACGGTCCCTCAAACAGCACATTATTGTCAATTCAGAAACATGAATCCTTTTTTGCCTGGTTTCAAGTTCCTATATTGCACAAATCAGAATGAGAGGAACCTCCACCCAAAGTACTGCAAAAAATCACCTGTCACTTCCCCAGCATAGCAGCTGGCTGCAGATGAAGTTTCAAAGAAAAAGAACAAAGGGGAAAAGAGGATACATCAGGAAAAAAGGTTACAGAGAGTACCTGAATGGGCTGTCAATCACTTCCCTGCATCTTCTGTGATCTCTGCATGCCTTTTGCTCTCTGTCCTCTTTTTTCTATTGATTTTATGAGAATTCTGGTTGCTTAGGAAAGGGGTGGGGAAAAAAGAAAACCCTGGAGTTGTTCTTCCTTGGAATTCTCTGAAATAGCATATACTTTGTTTAGAACTGCAACTCAATCTCATGTTTATAACAGTTATTTTCTTGCTTAACAGTAATGTAAGCAGATAACAAAGCATGTTCCAAGTTGAGCTGTTAAAGCACAGAGGGAACAAAATCCTCAGTTGCGAGTTACGGGCCAGTTAGCATTGAGAGATGAAAAGATGGGATAAAATAAGCTCTGAAAAAACACTAGTTCTATGAACAATGAAATTAGAAGACCTGGTTTTAAATGGACGCATCTCTAGCATAAAGTGCTTTGCTTTTCATTTGGTGTGAAATGTACCCAGTAAAGCTCTTTCTACTGTCTTAGCATTTACTATAATTTATGTCTCTAATTCTGTTAATAAAAATCTAAGAAAAATGAAAAGCCAAGTCACATATTAGCTTCCCCCTGCCCCAAGCCTGTGGTAATTTACATAAGACCTTGAAATCGTCATATACCTATCTCTTCTTCCCTTCCCTTGCTAGGAATGCCTTCTCTCGTCTCCGGTCTACTGCTCTCTTTCCATTTGTGTGAGACAGGAATCAATACTGAAACAACCCTACCAATGTCATTGACAAACAATTCTATAGGTTTAAATACTTCTTTGATATTCCCATACAATAAAGTCTTGCAAAGTCCTTTATCTACTCACCACAAATTAATGATGAAAAAATTATAAAGTTAAGATGTCTAATATTCTCTTATTATATATGTTAGGGGTTTTTATGGGGAAACTTCTAAACCATAAAGAATGCAATAGCTTTAGAGCTGAATTTGGGAACAATACAGCTGTATTTTACATAATACAGTATATGGTAAAACTATAAACATTTCTGAAAGAATTAAGGTATATACTGCATGATCAATTAGCAGGGAATGTATTATATTTTGGTAACCTGCTTTCTCAATGCACTTTATAAAGATTTGTCTTCTATTTCCTGGTAATACATCTTAGCTCTTAGCTACAAGAAAGTTAAATGAGGCACTGGTTTTCTATTAAAGAAAAAATACTCATAGTTACATGGTGTCAGTCTTGACATCATGTAACAATACAGCAATTATACAGCTATAGAAGGAAATTAACTGGATACATTAGTAGCATAAAAAGTGCTACTTCATCATTTATAAAATTATAAATATACATCAGCTTATATCATATGAATGATCACATATATGAATGCAAATATAAGCACCTGATCTTTCTGCATGGAAGAGGTTTTTCTTAGCACTGAGTTATCTATATGCAAAGTGTCAAATTAGATCCCTCGTGTCACAGAAGAGACAACTGAAGTGGATATGCAAAATGTCATCTCTGATTTGAATTGTTTCTCCTACATATTTAAATGTTAGAGCTCTCTGATCTGCTTACACAGGAAAAAAGTCTTGCTTACTTAATACTATATAACTACGTCTGATAAACTGTATTCTATCATCAAATGCTATTGTTTCCATTAGTAAGGAACATATACAATGTACAGTACGCTTCCTTAGCTGTAAAGTGCTGCAATTTCCTCACAGTTCTCCCTTCAGTAAATAATTATGCTGGGAGTGGGGTAACCAGAAAAAATAATCAAATTAATAGAAAAAGAACTTGTTAATTTGCACTTTATTCAAGGAAAAAACTCCCTTATGAATGACAAAGCAAATAAAGAATATTAAAAGAAATGTCCCTTCTTTATATATTGCTCATTTATAAAGTAGTTCATATTCTTATAGGTCATAATTTCAAAAGAAATGCTATACAGTTCATTGCTTACCCTTAATAAAGAGTTGAGTAAAAGAACAACTGTCTGATATATTAATCTGGTCATGAGATGGAAGGAAATGACTGTAGGATGTTTAGCATTAGCTACGTTTGGATATGTATGAATTAATATATTTCCCTGTGGTCACTTCGGTATAGAAGTACTATGAACAGCTGAAAAATCAAACAAATATTGTATTAACCAATAAAATTATGATTAAACTCCAAAACTGAAAGGTAAGTAAAGATTGTTTAGATAAAATTGTTTCTTGCTCATCAAGTTCTCAACAACGAGCAAATGGTTTGGAGTATCTGTTATTAAAATGTATGTAAAGACTAATCCATGCACTTAGAACAATCTCAGCATTCTGTTCAGCGGGAATGGAGAGCTCCACAGTTCTGGGGTTTGTTGCAGTGCAATTCTGGCACTGGTTGAACACAAGGCTGCAGAGAAATAACCTTTGTGTTTCAGGGGAATTCTTCATTTAATAAATATAATCTGTAGTTTTTGTGGAAGAAATGCCATTTTCTGAAGGAAAATAAAATACATTATAAAAAAAAAGCTATATGGTGCATAGGCACTCCTTCAGGTGTTTTCTTTCCAATTACAAACAGACAAATATGAACACCGAGGTGGGTATGTGTGGTGGTGCTCTTTATCTTACTAATGTAATTCTTATAGCATTAAAAGAAGATGGATTGGGCAGAAAGTAGCCATATAAACATAAATGGTCTGAATTTTTTTTTATACTAATGGAGTCTGTGAACATTAATGTGTTCAACCCTCTGCACTGTTTACTGTTTTGTGATTTATAATTAAAGATATCATATTATCTTGTCAGACATTTTGTAACTTTCTCTCCTCCACAAAACTGTTTCCATTAATTTTATCTCAATAGATTTTAGTATTGCACTCTCAATAGGCCATTATTGTATCATTATCAATATTCCCAGCTGTATAGCTTAGTAAAACAAAACCAAGAAGGATTTCCTGTACACAATACCACATTTAATTACAGTATCTCACTACCAGGAATTTGGATCATAGTAGTTTTTAGGATACATTAATTTAAAGTGCAAAACCAGTAGATGTAATGGGAAAAAAAAAAAAAAAACAAACAAAAAACCATTGAAAAGTGAAAAGTAATTAATCAATTTTTGGAAAAGATTGCACTGAAAGGTGCCATACTTTTAAGTCAAAGGGTAAGTGGCTATATGGCTATGCTAAACATTGGGATCAGTTTCAGTTTTATGACCTTTAGATGAAAAATCAAAATAGTAAGAATTAGAAAAAAAGTAAGACCTACTCTGAAATACTTAAGAAGTACTTTGTTAGAATTTCACGCAGAACGTACTGTCATCTCAGGAGAAATACTCCACTGGTTGGGGACAACAGATCTATGGCAGACAGATTACATTTTGCTTAGCATTCTTGGAGCTCACAGACTTAGTGGTTTTGTCCAAGTCTCTATAGAGGTACTCTGCCAATAAAACTGAAGTCCGAAGTTCCTAAGTTATTACAAATATGGTGGAACAAACCTTACTTGATCATTGAGTATACATATATATATATTTTTTTTAAACACTGCCAATTAAAAATAGAGCCACGTGCTTAGCAGGATAAGCACAGATCACAGTCATTTCTCACCCCTCTCAGTTATTTTACTTTTTCTAAGTCTGAAATTTTTGCATTCCCAGAATATCACACTCTTCAGAGCTGCATTAGTCAAAACATATTTTAAAATATTCCTCTGCAAGTCTTTCTCCAAATTTAATTTAGAAACATTCAAAACTAATTATAGAAAGGTTCTAACATAACTAGAAAAGGTGGAAAGTTCAGAAGTAAGGTGCAAAGATCAGAAGTGTGGAGTACTTCCGTATTAGAAGTGTGACTTTTGATTTTGGAAGAGAGACATCTAAAGGAGGCTACAACAGAGATGTATAAAATCATGAATGATGCTAAGGAAGCAAACAGGATATTTTAACCATTGTATCCCAATAGATGGATTTCTTTCACTGTCCATAAACTTGTGGCATTCTCTACTGCTTGAAGTTGCGGCACACAAATGCACTAATTTTTAAGGATTTTTATGTTCAGTCTGTTTTGAATTCTTTGCAGAATATTCTAAGTACAGTGTGGTTACTCGTTCACCACGGATTCCCAAAAGTTGCCAAAAGACCACGTGAAAGCAAGCTGTTGAACTGGACTAGGCAGCATTTAGCAGCTGGTAGCCAATTCCATCTACAAGTCACAAGCAAACCACAACTCCTTGCCCCTACAGAAATTACCTTGGTAACCGATGGCAGTGCCGACTGCCAGACCATCTTCTTTGATAACTGTGGAAACCCAACAGCTTTCCTCAGGTACCGATCGTGTATTTCACAAGTGCTGAGAATATACAGGGCGCAAGCAATGGCATAGCCTCCCCAGTTAGAGACCCCTGCAAAAGAATGTCACCATGAAACCAAACGGTAAGAAACCCAAACAGCAGTTATTGCGAAGATACCTAACCCGCATAAGTCATTAGGCACATACAACCGAGTCTCGTGTAGCAATGGCGGGTATGAATTAAACATTAACATGGATTTGGAACATTTGTTTCAGAAATACACAATTGTTTAACATATTAAAATGTTTTTCAGTAGTATTTTAGATTGAGTTTCTGCAAGTTTCCATCTAGCTTAGTTTGCAGTTTGTCTTTCCAACAAAGCAAAAACTCAAATGGGCATGCTCTAGAACACAATTCCCCTTGGCTTAATGTGAAGTCCATGCACTGTGAGGAGCTGTGTTACAGCCCAGTGTCCTTTGCTTTGAACCATGCAGAGGTAGAAGATTTTGCTAAAGTATCATAAACCAGGCAAATTGCTGGTTTAGTATCAAGAGTGTTAGATACCTAGGTTAGAAACCTAGAAACCTGTGTTAAGTACAATATGGACCATTCGCTTCATAAATCGGTCCTTGCTGAACACATCTCTTTCACTGCAGATTTGATTTCATGCTGGTTATGATGTTAGGGTAGAACAGAATTTTAACTATAGCATTCAACTTTTGTTATACATTAAGAATGTACATCTGTCCTCGAGTGGCTGTTGAAAGGACTTCCCTCTCTTCATGTAAGAGCAATACGACTGATGACCCTGACCAGTGTCACACCCATAGCAGCTCATCGATTGTACTGAAAATTCATATGTGCATAGACATTTTAATTCCTACAGAGTTTCCTTCTGCAGCCTTCTTTGTTATTTTATTTAAGGTGTGATTTTTAAAGAATATTCAGGACTTGCCCAACATTTCAAATTAAATGCACTTTCTTCATGGAACATCCTCAACTTCCAGTCATTCCTGCTGGAATTGTAGTTGCTTAACTACTCAGAAAATTGGCATAATACAGAGACAAATTTGTTCACTAATGATGGCTTGGTCATACAAAGAAAGAGCCAATACAAATTAGTTGGAAAGACAGATTTTATAGTCAATATCAATTTTATACTCAAACCTCAACAACCGTCCCACCGCCCAAAAAATCCCTTACCAGCTACAATAGTAAAATCAGCTTCAACATCACAAGCTATAACGTCTCCATTTTTTATGTGCTTCTTTACAGCATCTTTTACTTTGCCCATTCCTAATTCATTTCCTCCATCTCCAACACCTTTATTAAAAGAGAAAAAGACCGGATGAGTATGAACCCAGCATACAACTAACAATCCATTTAGAAAGCATCCAGGGTCTTCCCCAGAGTCGCTGTGATAGTTCATAGCTCCATACAAGATGATTTATACTTTTTAATCACAAGTGTCTAAAAAGAGAAGACTGTGAATGAAATAGCTGAAAGCATCACTTATCACATGCTAACCTGTAAGTGTATATATGCAATATATGCTGTATTGGTGGAGGCATAAGAAGTTAAAATTATCAAGTGCTCATGAACTGCAGATAGAATTAAGACAGTAAACTTGCTTATGGAAGGCCTTAAATGAGTATTCTATATAATGCATTGTCATAAATACATAAGGACAAATAGCAAAAGAAGATAGAAAACAAATCCAAAATAAATGTGAGAAATTAGCCTATTAGTCTGTAATAAAGCAAGCACAGAAAACTTTGGTTTGTTAAAATCTTGAATTTAAAAAAGAGCTTCAAAGTAGCAACTACTGCAGAAGTATAAACAAAAATATATGTAAGGACTTTGGCAGAAGTAGGACTTGCCGCACTGGCAATCTGTTTTACAAAGATCACTATCATTGTGCCACAGTGTACAGAGAGCCCAACTCTGTTATTACTGTTTTCATTTTTTCTAGTAATTTATAAAAAAAAAATAGCTAGTTTGTTCTGGGTTTGGGTTGTTTTTTTTGTTTGTTTTTTGTTTTTTTTTTTTTTAAAGTGTTCCAATATTCAGGGTGTAGAGCCTTGATTTTTTTGTTGGTCAAGTAAAAACACTAAGCATTTGTCTCTGATTTCAGTAAAATCAATGGAACCTATGCCATTTCAGGAAAATTTTAGGCAACCTTATGTTTGGGACATAAAATTGTCATTCAGAGATCTGAAGGTAAGGGTAACACATAAACTAGCACATTATATGAAAGCTGGATAGTATAAAAAAAACAACCAACCAACCAACCAAACAAAAAAGTCCATCTATTTAAGTGGAAATTATCATTTTTCTTTCACTTGTTAGTCTAAATGGCATCCTCTCAAGTTTGAAGATTTTATAGAAAAATCCTAGTTAATGTCTGTGAAAAAGAACACTCAAGAGCTGCAAGTCCTCACTGGAATGTATCGTATTTGAATTTGAAATGTGACTGTGCTCTAATGCATAGCATGTGTTACAGGAGAGAAATTACAGTATTTATAATTTACACTTCAAGCCCTAAAAACTGATAAATTTAACACTTTTAGTAACTGCATAAATATCTCACATAAGCCTGGAGCAAATTTCTTCTTCAAGTGAAATCGAAAGTCATTTCTCAGCAGCAATTTTTTATTTAACTCCTTAAGTCTATACAGTCAAGGAAAACATAACTGAGTGACACATAATTTACATAAAAGGATTTGCCATGGAACAATTAATCATTTTTCTTATCTGCTTTAATAATCTGATCACATTTATTTTGTTGTTGGGATTTAATAGTGCTTTCTAAAATCTGTTTGTAGTACTTTTCAAATCGGTAATGACATAATCATGGTGCCTCTATCATCATATATAAATGTGGTAGTTACTGTTTTGTAAGAATCCACACGATGTTTTGATTTTCAAAACCCAAAATGTTGCTCTTAACATTCTTTAAAAGACCTAAAATGAATTCTCGTGCTTTGAAGATCATCAAAAGTTTCTCTAACTGAAGGATGCTGATCCGTTGCTCAGCGGTTTTTTTGTATCAGCCTTGCTTTGCTTTTTCTTGTCTTTGTGGAAGCCCTGTCACCAGGATGGTCACACAGTTAGTAGATCGACTGCTGTGCCTGGATCCCATTAGCGTTACAGTTAATGGGAGGAAAGGAAGACCACCCTGAAAATTTTCCTGTACCATTTGGTTTTTTCTTCCTCTACACATCAGCAGAGGACTACATTTCACTGTAGACTTCCAGAGTGAGATTCACCTGACAAAACGCTGCCGTCTACGCATGAGCCAGTCAGCTAGACTTTTAAAGTCAGCAGAGAGAAACAGACCCTTCAAACGTTCAGTTCATCTCACCCCAAGGCAGACATCTCAAATATAGATGTCTGAAAATAGACAAGATGAATCCTCTCCTCCTAAAGGTCTGAGTGCTTTCCAGGAAGAGGAAAAATTGTTCTGTCAGATTTTCCACGCAAGTTTTCACTGATTACATTGGTTTCTGAAACTATGTTCATGAAAAAATGCAAGAAACATCAGTCTTCTGTGCTAAAAATCATTGTATGAAAGGGAAACATGTGTGACCGCATTTTTTCATGCAGTACTTTGGAAAGCTTTTCAGTAGCTCCTATATCAATAGCATATAGCTATGTCAATTGTATGACAGCTATAAAAACAGCATGTGGTTTCAGTAGCATCTCTTAATCTTTTATTTCAGTCTTTTGTGAAAAACAAACTCTTCCAACCTCAGTCTTCCATGTCTTCTTATTTTGTATATTCCTGAAGGTTGCCGCTTACTCCATGACATTTTATGGTATTGGTACCCATACAATTGTAGGCACTGTTCATGAGTTGTCTGTGGTCAGACTCCTAGATCAGATTTTTTTAAACACAGATCTTGTTTTAAATGCAAAACTTGACGGCAGTCAATAGGCATGTAACAAATGTTCTAACATTTCCCCTCTCCACCTACTAACAGTACTTCTTGCCACTGAGCAAGACTATACGAAGACTTCATTAAGGCTGAAAACTTGATCTTTCCAGTAACCTTTTCTGCTCTATAAAGTTATCTGAGTACTCTGCCTTAACGCTGTACGATATTTGCATTTTACCTTGGAACTAGACATATGCCTCCAAATTCCTACTGACCATGAAGAAAGTCAAAGATGGCTTCCCGCCTCCCCCCAAAATTTACTATAATCAGTAGCAATACATTATCATCAGTAATGAGAGACAAGACACAAAGGCTATAGCCCAGATTTGTGCCTTGTTAAGCTAGGCTTTGTGGAAATATACTGAAAAAAACAACAGCCATCCCAAGAAACTGTAATCAAATTTTTTAAAAGACACAAAAAGTTAGTGTGATAAGCAAAATAAGAAACGTTAACTAGGTAACAGACAACATAAGAAACAATTACATTACTTTTCTAGAGATACACAATTAGTTCTCCAGTGTAAAATATCCATGTCCACGAATTCCACAGGAGATCAGAGCAGATACCTTCATTACCTTTTGAAGCCTATGACTTGTTAAGTCATTTTCTATGCAGACATCTCTAGAGAAAAATCACAGCAATGGGACACAGTGAATCTGGATAACTGCTTCTTTTCTTCTTATTCACAAGCCTGCGATATTTTTAATTAATGACATTTCATAGTATATTTGAATATTCAGAGAATGTTTAAAACTAACTAAATTTTGGTGAACAGTTTCAAATTTCCACCTTGCAGAACACTCCAAACTCTGCCAAATCAACAATATACTATGAGCTGCTCTGGGAGATATTATAAGAGATTATGGTATTTTCATTAAAGGAACCAGGATGTGATTTTATGTAAGTAGCTGGATAGACCAAGTCTTTGTACCAACAATCTAAAATCAGGGACAAGAATTGAAATAAACTGCAGCAGATAAAGCTCTGAGGCATTTTGCTAAACATCTTTATGAAAGAGAGTTTTTTCTATCCTTATTCAGTCAATCTGTGGCTTCTCTGCTGAGATTTCCAACAGAGTGCCATCTAGAGTGCTACTTTTTGAAAGTTACTCCTTAGGAATAGGAAAAGTCTTGAATTAAATGTAAATAAAATGTATTGCAAGGTTTAAGATAATACAGTGAACCCTTCTGCTATATGGCTTTTAAATTATTCCAATACGGTGGAATCAGACTATGCATTATCTCTGCAGGAGCTCTCTAACTTCTGTGAAAACATTTGAAAAACATCAATACTGAGAAGTCAAAGTTCCCGTGCTTTTGGTAATACTTAGGAGTGAGTCCACAGCACTACAAGAAGAAAAAAAAGCCAGATCAGCAGACATGTTCTGATGTGAAGGAAATCAGCCTGGCATGGGTTCTTATTTCCAATTTTGTGACGCTTATTTCAAATTCTGTTTCTAATACTTATATAGATTATCGATCTCCCAATTCTGTTTTGGGGCACACAGTGTAGCAGGAAGCATCTGATTCTACAAGAATGTTGTACAACACTTTATATACACACCTTGATCTATGGCATATTTTTTCAAAACCAGGCACAAGTAAATTTTCAGGAAAAAAGGGATTATCAACAAAAGAAAGGAGTGCCGTGTTGACAAAAGCATTCTCATTAGACGTATTAGTCAATGCAGATGTAGTTTAGGCAGGAAGGACAACGTACTCCTTTAAAGATTATTACTGTATATGTATGTTTTGTTAGAGAAGGCACTATTATAGCAGATGCAAATATGCAATCCCTGCTTAAGAGAATGTACTGCTCAAAGACAATATAAACTAAGATTCTATCCAGACTGCTGTTTTAACAAAGGCGTAACAAGCATAAAAACAACTATAATATTTTAATATATAATGTTTCCATTCAATAGTAATTTGCTTTCTATGTTGCCGTTCACACACAAAATACAGAATACAGTCAGTGTCAAAAACTACACTTAGAGAAGTGTATGTATACACGCTGATGTATAGGTAATACACACATGTGGGCTTGCTTTTTTTTTTTGTCCTTACATAAGTTTGAAATGAACTCCTCCATTTTTTTCAGCTGTGAGAACCCTTCAGTAGAAACTTGTCGTTTTTCTCCAGCAACGGCCTTTTTAGATTCAGCCACGGCGAGCAGCTGCAGCCCGCAGGCAGTTATCCAGCACCTGCCTCCCGCTCCCCTTCACTCCCAGTAAGGGTTCCTGTCCTGTGCTTCTCTGGCTTCTGAGAGTATAACACAAACTCACACGTACCTGTTGTTGTGACTCCTGGAATGGTTTGTGCAGCTAAAAATAGTTCATCTATGGGATCCACGAGATGTTTAATGTTAACTTTCCTGGCATTGTAATAATTGCCATCAGCAGCCATCCCAGCACGTTCTATTGCTATCAGGTGATCAAACCTGGTTAGAGAGGAGTGAAAAAAAACAGAGGAGAGGAATCAAAGCTGTGATTTTCACACAGCAAAGTCTTCTGTTGGCTGCTTCTCCTGTTGCGCTTAGTTCTAATTTTTGACCACTGGGATTCAAGGTAAAACTTGGATACTGTTTTGTTATTTCTGGATGTAGTTCTCTGTAGTTTATTTTCAAAAGTTAGCCTAGTTTCTTTGTACCTTTAGTGCAACTTCCTCAAACCACATTTGCCACCCAGAAATGGAGAAGTTCCCCAAATCTTTCTAGCCAACAAGCTTTTGGGTCAGCCATCTGGCCTTGCTCTGGTTGGTGTTAAAATACATAATATCTTATAAGACATTAGTCTCTATAAGTGTTTTCAAAGAAAACAAAAAAGTGGCAAATTAATGATCATCAAAATCCTTGTTAGTGCAGATACAGTTTCTGCTTAAAGTACATTGTCTGGCAAATAGTCGTTTGTTTCCAGTTAGGGAGTTTTTTTGTTTGGGTCTTTAGATTTGGGGGATTTTTCTTTAAGTCTGTGGCTACTTTGCTAGTTATGAAAGTAGACAGATGTACTGCAGATGTCCTACATGTTAAGCAGAGCTTTAGTACCCAGTTCTGCCACTATATGTTAGAATTAAGTTATTTTGCTTTTGTTTCTCCAATTTTACTCTCAAGAGGTTACTAATTCTGATGAATAACTTAATGTTCTTGTGGGTGGGTATCTACGGTGATTCCAGAGACTTTAAGCAGGTTAGTTGTCTATTTTAAAGAAATACTTACTTTAGCTTTTTGGGACTGTGGGATCAATTAAAATAGAAACTGGCATAGCTATAAAACACATTTTTAAAGCAATATGTAAAAAATTAAGATGGTATCATGCATGCTATTACAACCACAACAACAATTATAGCATACATTAATCTGTGGAAAGAAAACGGGAAGTGATGGAGCAAATAGCAGAGTGAAAGATCTTTTTATTAATGAGAACAAAGTGAAGGCAACTACATTAAAATGCTTTACAGGGAAAGATCAATAAAAATGAGCAATGTATGCTTAATTAAAGGAAATGTAAGTTGCCTGCTAAGTAATGAAATGTGCACACAACTACTTAGCATATTCTCCTGTGCATTAACCCTAATCACACACTTTGTAGAAATTTGAATTTTTGCCCAACATTGTATAGTCAACAAAGCATATGCAAACAGCTCAAATCAATAGAAAAGTGCATGCATACACCTATAAATTTGGCTTTGGCTGCCCAAAGACAAGAGGATGATCACTTCCATACTCTTACTAACACATGATGTTTTATTAAATCAGGTCAGATTCCCCAGTTGTCAGACTTGAGCCAAAGCTCTAGAAAGTGAACACACTGCACAGCTCTGTTCCTAGCTCTTTCACAGACTCTGACATAATACTTCCTCTTTCTGATTTTCTCACTGATTTAAAAACTGGTATAATAATATATTGTGCGTGTGTGTATATACATCTATATGGAATAACAGCTGAAAAGCTTTTAGAAATTTTTCAAAGGAAAAGAGCTACTGATATATGAAGTATCATTTAGTTTTTGTAATCTAGAAATGCATAATTGCAGAATAACATGGAATTCTGTACTCTATGTGTACTCCAATACCAGTGTTTGGCTTCAGAGTTTGTTCTGTTCATTCCAAGTCTTAAGGATTTACTTGTAACCATTATGTCTTCTTACATCATGGTCATTATTTTTATTCTAACTTTACACAGTAGAGGTGTGATCCATTCTCAAAAACTAATTCCACATACCTAGGTCTTTCAGGATTTCCATTCTCACACAAAAACGTTAAAGCTGAATCTGCACTTTCACTTTGATAACTCAATAGAGGGATTGGTCTCTTCAGGATTCCTACAGGAAAAAATACAATTCAGATACTATGTACATTTTTTCTTTCTTTTTTTTTTTTTTTTATTAATGTGTGTTTGAGTAACTTTTTTTTTTTAAAAAAAGGCAGAACAGTTAGAATAGTAAGGACTTGGTGTCTTTACACTATCCCTTATAAGCTCCCTGCATTCTTACTTTATTTTAAACTCATTTGGATGTAGTGCTAAGTAAATGGAACCTTCAGATAGAAAACAGGTCTACAAGAAGAAGACCATACATCCAGAATTCATCACAAACAGCTAATCCAGAATCAGTACCCAGACACACAAGCATTAACTGAATGCCAGCTAGGTTTAACAAAATGTCATCGTAGCAACGCTGATCTGAGCTTAGAGGGTGAACTGTGGTTCATTCTCCTGGGGAAAAAAAAAAAAAAAAATTCCTGTACTAAGTGACAGTGAGATTGACTGACGCAAACCTTGGCTCAAATTGGCAAGATAAAAACTGAAAAACGTGTCTCTTACCTAGTTGAACAGCCTCTTCAATAATCTTTTTATTCAGATTCATGGCTCTCTGATCCGTTACTATGGCAACCTCTTTCTCCAAGACCTGCAATAGAGCTGCAATAGCAAGGGCTCCCGGGGGCCCGTCATTCTCTTCCGGCGGCTCGTAAGCGAAGTGGGTAGGAAATCCAGTTGTTATCAGCACTGACCGAGCATGGGAGATGGAGAGGCAAGCCTTCAGCAGCTCGTCCTGGCGGTGTAGATGAATTATACCCCGGTCTCCTATAAAGGTGTTTTTAAAGAGAGCGGTACACTTCAATACACTGTTTTCCTTTTGAAGGTTCTGTGTGGGTAAACCTGCATACTTTAATGACATAAAATGGGTTAAAACCAAAACAAAACAAAAAAAATAAAAACCTCTGGTCAAGGCAGGAATTAGGGTAATTTCCTCAGGAAACCTAGGAAGGTGTAGGATATGAGTAATGAAGATAATGGGCTGTGCTTCCAGGTTAAGAATTTCAGTTAACTGGATTTTGAGAATTACCATACCTGACATTCTTAGGTATTAGTGTAAATAGCTTTTTCTGAGAGCTTACTGCATATCGTTTGCTTTCCTTTGGCCCTCTGACCTGTGGTGACAGTCATGCTGGACCATGTCTAGCTACTGAAGCTAGATTGTGACTCAAGCATCCCAGATCTTACAGAAGTTTTGATGCAGACATCACGAGTAAGCTGGTCCTTTGTCTCTATTTAACTCTATCCACTTAGGGAAGAGCTAATTCCCAAATAAATTCCACTTAATGAAATGATTAACCACAGAAGTGAGGCTTCAGGGACATTGTAAGTTACCAGGGGACATCATAAACTCAATTAATATGGTGGTATCCAGGTTACTGCTAAAGGATCTTGTAACACCTTGTATAGTAGAGAACCATGTTATCTAACCGTGAGAAACAGGTGAATATTAACAGGTGTCTGTTCTCATGGTCCAGTCCCTAAAGAGGCAACACTGTGTTATCTCTGTGTGTCTTTGATTGTTCAAATGCTTCCTACCCCGTCTCCCTTCCTTGGCACTCGGAAACACAAGTTCACACCGCAGTCCTTTAGATTTGCTAGCACTCCAGAAAAGCACAGACACTAGTATGATGTCATGATATTCATGGGCTGATAGCGAGAGATAAGTCCTCACTATTGTCCTCTGGCCTCCTCACATCTTCATCTTTCTCATCTTTGCCCTCCATCCCCCCGCCTTCCCCAGCACTCTCCTCTTTTTGTCTCCAATTTCCCCTTTGCCATTTTCCCTCTGTTCCTCCTAAGCAACATACAGATAGTGGACACAGAAAAAAGTTCTGAACAAAACTTAAGTAACAGAAGTGGGGAATACTGGTTTCTGAGAAGTGGGGTATATTAACTGAGATAAAGTACTGTACTCTCCTTTAGCAATAAAATGAGCTAACTCTTGTTAGGTCTTGTATTTCTGTAGAGCATGGCATTGTGCCAAGCTGAGCTCCTGAGAGTGGGAAAAGGAGAGGCTTTGTGAGTGAAAATAAGCAGACCCAAACATAGGCACATAGCTCGAACCCGGAGCTTGGGAGAGCTGGGCTTAAGCTGTTTTCCACTACTGTCTACAGAGGATTTCAGAAAATTTATGGGAAACAGATCAGAATTTAAAGCAGACAGAGGGGACTAATTCAGTGTGTATTTTGGGAATGGTTGCGCTACTCGGTTTGCCTTTATTTCCCTCTCATCTTCCTTGTGCACACATGCAGCCCTACCCCTTGACCTTTGGTGATGACCAGAGGTCACTTTGGTCCATCACACACCACCTCAGCGAGGAATGTCAGCAGAGCTTGATGTAATCCCACCCATCAGAGAGGGATGTTTGAAAAGCACATGCAACTACTAGAATTTTCTGCTAGGAGCACAGTAGTCGTGAACATATGTAAAGAAATGTGCTATTTACTCAACAGTGAATACCCGTGTAGCTGTTACCAGCAGGCTGAGGTGCCCTGTACTTTATATACCAATTTCAGTTTTATTTAGTAACAGTTCTTATTCCCTGCGGACTCTCCAGTCTGCTGTAAAGACTGATGCTTCTGTGTACTTTGAGAGTATACAGTCATCCAGATCAGATATTCCATTACCCATAAGATTGAATGGTTTTGGCCAGACTCTGATATTAGGTATGGTAACAGAAAATGTAAGACCTAGTTATATTAACTCACTGTATTCCACAATTAATTTTTAAAATCTTAAAATTGCCTTCAGATTCTTACTGTTTTCTTGAACTTTATGAATACCCAAAAAAGCAGGATAGGTCATATCTACCTTGTGACAAAGCCACTAAAGGAAGAGAGTTTTTGTTTTTACCTGGATCTATTCCAATTAGGGTCTCCAGAGTCTTTATCTTTTGGGCTGCTTCTGCTGACACAATACTATAATGCAGAGGATCTTGAGAAATGCAGTGGACTTGTGGGACTACTCTTGAGGATCTGACTGTGACACTCTCGTTCTTTAGGTCAGTAATGAACATGCAGCCAGGAGAATGAGTAAAAGCTAACGGAGCTCCTAAAATGGGTGAAAAAACTTCAATTAAACACACTGTTATTGCAATACACTGAAATATCAGAATGATAAAATCACAAAAAGCTATTTAATTGAACAACACAGAGTCCCTGCCTGACGACACAGATCCTAAAAACAGGTGATATTTTAGGTTACACTGCAGCAGTTAATACACTTTGAGAAAGGAAAGTATGCATGTACATTGGAAAATGTTTTCACTTTCAGAAAGCTCATGCGGGTAGTTGAGATCAGCTTTTTCTATGATCTCCTCTTTGGTATAAACTTGAAGCAACTTAGGAACTGAACACTGGTATCCTCCAACAAAGGCTGTCAGGAAATGGCACTGGGGTTTGACATGCATGAAGAAACTAGTGCATTGACCTAAGAACAAGTTAATGTTTAAGTTTGCACGGTGTCTTGGCAATATTGTTTTCATAAGAATAATTTTCTAGGTTCTAGAGTGCTGCTGGAAGCTACAGTGTCTCTCTTATACCTTTGAATATCCTTGTAACAGTGATACGACAAAGCTATCAACTCCTGCCTGCTGGCTAGCAATAGTCCTTTATCAGATTAAGAAAATGGGGACTAGCATTTCTGCACAGTGTTTTATTGACCTCGCTAGGAGATCTACGGACTAGCAAGGAATAATGGCAAAAGGTGACCCGTAAGCCTTAGCAAAGGGAATCAGAGTAGCACCTAAATCCCTGGTGAACTGCAAGGTTATTTAGACCTGACAGCATAGTAGTTCCCTAAACTGAAAATATTTGCTGTCTTTATACTAATTTCAGAAGTCTTGATATAGATCATACTTGATTTGGCAAGATTGATACGTTGTTGGAAAAATCACAACTGGTATACTTAAAGAATCAAAACTTTACTTTGTTGGGATGGTGAAAAGGAAGGAGATATTTCTTTAACAAGTACATATGTGCTTGGTCTGTGCTAGATCTGTTGGGAGTCTATGGCTAGTAATCTAAAAGCAGATGGGGAACATGGTTGTTGAGGTTTAATATACCTCACCAACCGATGTGAGTAGACAGTATTTTTTGTGAGAAGCTAGCAGATTCTAGCTAGTTCCCAGAATGCATTAATGACAACTGGTTTTAATACAGAAAATGGAGAAATAAACAAAAGTGAAATCCGTTCCAGGCAAAGGCAGGATAGACAGCTGCTTTGAGCAACAGATTGCAGAGGGGTTGGCAAGTTTTTTCTCTCCCTGCAACAAGGATGCATGAGGAAGATGAACAAAAGTGCTGGAGAACACAGGAAAGAGAAGGATTTTCAGCTTGGATTGGGACTGGACAAAAGGGGTGGTATGTAAGAAAGAAAAAGAATTCTCTGCTCGTAGTGCTGAAAATATTTACAGCAGCTGTTGAGAGCAGTTTAGATCAACATCTGTAGGGAACCACAAGGACGTAGCAGATCCTGCAAGGGGAGAAGGACGAAGCAGATGACCTCCCAAGGCTCTCCCAGTTATACTGCCTACGATTATTAAGCTTCTTTTTCAGTAAGAGCTAAAGTATGAGATTTCATTCCACAACAGTGATTTAGAGCAGTATATAATACTGTCACTATGGTTTAGTTGCATTTTCTTGCCCTTTGTGCTCATGCCTGTTATAAATGACTGGATAAAGTGCAGAACAGCTCTGTGCAGAGCAAAAAGTTTCATTTATGTAAAGTGTGTCACACTTACTTCATTTTAGAACAAAACCTAGAAGCTCAAAATTCTCATGACACAATTATGAACTCTTTTCCAGGGCAATCGATTTGCTAGCTTTTGACAACATTTTCTAAAGACTTCTGGCTGCTGTTTCTTTTCTTTTTTTTTTTTCCTCCCCTTTAATATTGTTTTATTGCAATATAATACAAAATATTATTTTAAAAGAAAGAAGCTTAAAAATTATTGTCTTTAAACTTCTAGTTTTTAATAATGCTTAAAAAAGATGTTTTGATGCTGCCAGAGCTTTAGATTTCTGCCTTTAAAGTACTCAAACAAAAGTGATGAAATTTCAGTAGGAACTTCCTTTAAGGTAGACTTGTATTTCACAATGGAAAATAGTCCTGCCAAAGGTTTTTTTGTTGTTTGGTTGGGGTGATTTTTAGCTCACCCTAAAATCAACCCTGCTAATTAGCCAACTCATTCAATCCACATTAAAAAAAAAAAAAAAAAAAAAAAAACAGAGAGAAAAAGAGATTGAAGGATAGCTTAGAAGAGTCTCCAAACATAGTACATACTGCAGTTGCTGACTGCTTCTACTGCTGTTACTCCACAGGCCCAAAACACTGGAATATCACCAGGGTAAAGGTGAACTGGATCTCCATAGTCTGGTTTGGAAAGATCTTGTATTCCCAGCAGACCTGGAATTGATTAAAAATTAAATCAGGAGAGATTCCAATTAAGCAGTACTACTGCAAAGCCTGGGGGCTGCACCCCAAACATCATTCAATGGCACTGAGCCTGGATTGCAACAGTGGCAAGTCCCCCTGAAGTGGCATATTTAGTTTGCCTTTCAGTTCGTGTCCCCAGAACCTGAGCTGACTTCTTTTCCCTTTTTGTAGTTGATGACATCAGTAAAAATGTATTCACTTTATTTCTGCAACAAAATACAACCTAGATGTGGATGCTGAGTTTCCAAGTTGTTATAAATCTTTCCTATCAACAGAAGAATTATATTTGTAACACTGGCACACAATAATAAATAACTGCAATGCAAAATGGGTTTGTTCTAGAACACATTTTCGACTGTTTTAGCTTCCTATGTTCTTTAGCTAGAGAAATGAGAAAGTGCTCTTTTACCTCTCTGGGTTAGGTAACTACATCTCACTCTTACCCAGCTTTCACTGATTTGTCTTTTGCTTTCTTCTAACACCTACTTATAATATTCTGGGTCATTCTATGCACTTGCTGTCTTCCCTTGGTTTTAAATTCTTCAGAGGCTTTAATATACCACTGTCTTTTCTGGAAATACTTTATATAAACCATATATATACAATAATTCACTATTTTCTGTTAAAAATAAATAAATAGTGGAGACCCTCACTTGCCCAAACATCTTGTTGCTCTATTCAAAGTAACATCTTATTACTAGTTCCTCAGATTTCAGCACTCAGACCAAATATATTCCCAGGGTATACGGTTAAGCAATGGCATCTCCTTCCCTGTTCTGCAATGTGATCCCTCTGTGTATGCAGCCCATGAATCTACTGATCAACAAATTTCTGTCAGCAGAGGGGATTTTTTTTCTTTTATTGTGATCTACCTTCATCTTACAGATGTGTGTTTGATTTTGTTCTTTTCCAAACAGGCTCTGGGTTATATTTTTTTTTTTTTTTTCAGTTTTCCCTTGCAAAGAATAGGCCTATACTTGTTTGAGCTGGGTTTTTTGAAAAAATATATTCTTGTCATATTTATATTTATTCTCTCTTAAGTGTTGTGCTCAATGTATTCTATTTCAGTACTTTTAAAAATAATTCAGTATTTACTTTCACAGTACTCCACTAAGACACAAAATGTATCCACACATACTTCTCCTCATGCTGTCAATCATTGCTACCCTGTTACTGCAAACTCTGACAGCAAGGAAATATTCACATATAAATGAAACTGCATACATTTTAGAAAAATGTGATTACACTTTTTTACCAAAACCACCCCTGCCATATAACTTATCTATATCAGACAATTATCTTTTATCCAAGAAATCTCTGTGTTGAGCTCATTCAAAACCATTCTTTTTTTTTTTTTTCTTTTTTTTTTTTAAATTCAGGTTTGTGACCATTAGAAAGGATTAGAACATAATTAATGTACTGGTGCAGGTATTTCAGTCCTACCACTTCCCATGGCCCCCCTCTTCATTTTTATACACAGTAAAGTGCATGGAGAGAGTAAAATGAAAAACACTGACCAGGGTCACCTATGTGAATTGGTGCTCCATGGGCTTCTTTTAATTCCGATGTTGCTAGCACAGCTGCTTCCAGTTTGCTTTCAGGAATAGGTCTCATGGTGACTACTAAGTTGCAGCAAAAAGTAGAAACGCTGTAGCAAGGGACTGCTGTCTGGCAGTTCAAAAGAATCCAAGGTGTTAGCAGGAATATGGAATAGTACTTCTAAAGTATTAGAAGAAATAAGTCTAAAACCTTGAGTTTAGAAAGGTCACACACTAACATTCATTTAAAAATCCTTTTAAACAAAACTTTCTTAGCATCCCCCCCCCTTTTTTTTTTTCTTTGGTAAGATTCAGCAGTGCAGGAATGAAACATTCCATCCTTAAGCTTCTTCATATTGATCACTAAAATTTTCAACATTATGCATTTCTTGCTTCAGTACATGTCGCATAGAGTGTGGTGAGCTCAGTGCATTCTGCATATTGTTGGAAAACGACGGTGTGCTCCCTGTACAGAAAGGGAAAAAGCTAACAAAAAGTACCACACCGTGATGAATCTGCTTGGTCCAAACTGACCCTCTGTATTTGATTCAGGGGAGCTACAGCGCTCTGTAACACCCACGGGTCAGGAACCCCTGCTGCTGCCAGCACCCACTTCTACAGAAGCAGCATGCCAGTTCCACACATCCAAAATCTTTTGTGCCTCTAGAAAGGTTCTGTGGAATTCATCATCCTCACCAACTGGGATGCTGGAGCACCTTTTCTATTCAGAAATAAAGCAGTCAGACTTTTCAGAACAAATTGTCTGATATCAAAGTTGCATCTAAACATAAGCAAGATAGGTAGACAGCTAGAGCTGTACAGAACATGTTCATTAACAATCTTTATAATAAAAATCATACCTGTCACTGAAGAAACACACTGTACAGTTCTTTACAGTATCGATGTGCTATAAACTATGAAATTTTCCTATTTCTGAAACGTTATAAGCAGATACATAGTTGTACTCTTTTCCTTTAAGCTTGGTACAAAGACTCGGGTATGAGACACATTTGAGCCTTCACTTTGACCAGGAATATAGCAAAAAGATTGTTGTTTTCAGTGTTATTGTTTCACAATAACCTTTGTCTAGTAGAACAGCAGCCAAACTAAATGAAAAAGGCATGCAGATGTGTACCTAAGTGTTCTTAATATTAACGGGCCTACCTACTGGAGCCAGAATTATTCTAGGACTTCTGCAGACATTAAAATCTGCATTATAAACTTGCTGAGCACAGTTAGAGTTTTCAGTGCCTCGGTAGATACCTCAAGTATTTGGGAACATCTTCTGTCCCAGAGGTCTGGGTTTGTAGCAAATATGCAGTTTAAAGGCTCTACTGTCACAAGAAAAATCCAAAATGTGGCTGTTAGGCAGAAGAAGCTGTTACTGTCATGGCTCATAAAATGAATATTCCTACTGCAAGCCAGAGCTGGTATGGTGAGCAGGACACGTATGAAGGCTGTACAAATGAAATGGCTGCTACAGCACACAGGGAAAATCTTTGTCACCATAAATGAATAAAAAAGCAGATTGGCCTCGTAGGAAGTTGACAAAACACTGAACTGAGGCTGGGCATATTTTACCCTGTATTTTTGCGCACTCAGGGCTAGCACATGCCTAAAGTTACTATGCAGGTAGGAAAAAAAGTTGATTTTGAGCAATAGTTATACACATATAATTTGAATATGGACAAATATTCAAAGGAAAAGTTACGACAAAGATTATATGTGTGTGTGTATATACCTACCTTATACATGCTTACATTACATTTTTGCTCAACATTTCTTAAGGGAATGCCAGCATTTTGGACTGCTTTTTCAAAAGAGAAGCTGCAGCCTAAATAAAAAGTCACCATGTCCTTAAGTTGCTCAGAATACTCCTTTAGGCTTTTCAGTGATCCAGTAAAAGCTCCATACTCATATATTCTGTACTGTAGACAGTCAGTTCTACATGAAATAATAAGTTATTGCAAATTTAGCATATTTTTTTTGAAAGCAAGGTGAATTGTTTGAATTTACATTAACTCAGTATCAAACAAAATACAGGCTACTAGTATATAGCCTTCTATGGCCATTTCTTTTCTTTCTGAGTAACAATGAAACAAACATATGCAAAATCCCCATAACACCTTATTCTGCACAAAACCAAGCCAGTAAGCAGAACATGTTAGAGTTCGGTATTTTTTAGGCTTTACAGGTAAATATGTATCTTGTCTCAGGGCTTCAAAAATTAGGGAGCTGGTTTAAGTCTTGCTTTTCGTGTTTACTACAGGAGTACATCTTTCAAATTTCAGAGTCTCTACAAATGTCACGTGGTCACCACGCCGTTGTTACTACTAAATAAAAGGCAAACCCCTGTTACTTATTTTGCAGCCTGATCCAGCAGAATTATTTAGAAATCATACAAAATTTTATCTTTTCACTAGAGAAATACTCGTAATACTGACAATTATCATAACATGTGTCTCAGGAACAAGACAATCAGGCTGTTATGTGTAGTTTTCATTCAGAGGTATAACTCCAAGGAGAGAAACTTGTTCAAAATGTGCAGCGGAGTAAGCAGGCTGCTGCCTGAAACCCTTCTAATCCCTACCAGCATTCACTGCAGAACTTTGAGAAGCAGAGTTGGTCTGTAGTTACCTGATATCCGAATCTCTACTCAGAGAAGGACATTTCCAATCACCTGGTTTACTTCTGTACAGCAGTGGCAGGGGTCCATCATTTGCACGGCAAAACTTCTCAAAGTCATCAGCCAGGGACTTGTGCAAAATCACAATGTTGGCCTGTTTATAGCCTGAAATTGTGGAAAGTAGGAGTGACTGGTTACTAATTCAGCTTTTTGTTTGTGAAACAATAACTTTCCTGTATGTATTTCTTTAGATGGCCTATAAAAAATTACCTGAAGGAAATTTTTAATTCAGAACTCCATAATTAAATTAAATAACGTCTGGAATTTTTTTAAAAGTCATAGCTAGATGTACTTTGCATGTGAAGTTGTTCACAGATAAAATAGTTGGCAGACATGGGTAATGCTAGATTATGAATACAGCTTACTTACTTTAATAAACATTTCTATGAGCTTATATATAAACATAATTTATTACCTAACCTGGGAAATTAGTATTCTACAGGAAAATGCTTTACTTTGCAAATGTTAGCACAGAGCAAAAGAAAGGCTATTGCATACCACACTTTCACCATTTATTTTTTTTCATTTAGTACTGAGCTATAAATCATGGCCAGTCCAACAGTAAACTCCTGATATCTCGACATGTTGCCCATTCTTCAGAGTTTGTTCGCTATGGAATTTTACTGTGGGCTGCAGTTAAACAGACAATTACAGCTCAGGAATAAACTCTTGCCTGTCACAATGTATCTCAGTCATTTCTACTATTTTTGATTTTAAAAACTAAAATGAACGGAACTGCTACATGTTCTTCACTTGTAATCAACTTTGATTTAAAAGGTTGTTGACTACTACCATGCAATAGCTTCTAAAGACATTAACAGTTTTGCAACGAATATCAATGAAGAAAGCTCACATTTATTTAGCAAAAATTTATTTTTTAAACAGTTGTTAATACCAATGCCATTTTGATTTTCCTGCATGTAAATACCAGCTGTTCAATCACAGAGAGACAATTTGGAGTCCAACTATTCTGTGGCATACAAAACCGCCAATTAACAGTCCCTAATTCTTGCCTTGATACTGTCTTGAAGAGTTATCACTGTGTCTCAGACCAGACAGGTGAGTAAGAGGCTGCATAGAAGCTCTCACTTTCTTAAATACTGTGGTGGTCTGTCAGCCAAGAGGCATTTAGCTGAAATCAATGATCTGCCTTAAAAGGCTGTAGAAAATCAGCCAAATTTTACTCTCGACCAAAGCTGACAAAGAAATCAAAAGATAAAATTACATTCCTGATCGAAAAATGTAAAGCAAAGGCTGAAGTAAGCATGTATTTGCATACTGAATGTGCCCACAAACTGCTCTCTTGGGAGTACTCAGCACAAAAATTCATTTTATTACTAGCAGAAGTTACTAAATACAGAAACAGTTTCTTGCTAAATACAGAAATACATTTTTGTTAAATAAACATACTAAATTTACCCTTGAATAAAAGTGCTACAGTCAGTTACCCCTCAACTTCATTCCCTTCTGTCCATATGAGATCCACAGGCACTTTCTACTTTGCTGGCGATGTTCACAAATTCTTAAAATTATGGTTTTAGTCAGTGCGTTCAACTCGGACAACTCTGAATTTACAATACCTAGTCACAGCTGACAGACTGACTCTGCAGGTAACTTTCAGGTATTCCATAAACTCGGGAAGGTTCATTATAACACTTTGACAACTTCATTGCTCCTACTGATAACTATCCCAGCTTTCTTTATAGATGAAAAAATATTTTTCCCTTCCCATATCTTCTTATGTATATGCTTGCATTATATATCCATCATTATGCATATATTCACAAGCAATGTTAGTGAAGCTGGGCATGCTGATCAACCCATGCATTAATTCAACACACCCATGTCCCAGTTCAGAAAAGTTTAGGAAAAGCTTTTAATTTCTTTGGTGGATGACAACGAATTCAGTTATTTAAGTATAAAACTATTTTCAATCTCTCCCTTATAATTCCCAGTCTTGCTGAGTCAGTAATTTCCAACTTCTGCAACAATTGAAGCAGAAAACCACTTCTGTAACAATAAGTCTCTAATTCTTCCCCAAAGTGTATCCAATGAAATAAGTAAAGCAAGGTCTCTGTGAAGAACATAGTAAATCATCCTACAAATGTGATAATAACATATGCAAGAAAATCCAGATTCAGTAAAGATTTTTCAAATATTTTCTGCATCTGTAATTCCTCAATGACATAACTGGGAGCTGAGTGATGCGCTGCAAACGTTGAAAACAAAGTCCGTGTACTTCACACAGGTCGGATGATATATTTTCTCTGATGTTGCTTTATGATTTAAGAACATAGTGTCAGATGCTTACAATGTGACTTCAGAAACACCCAAGTGACTTGAGAACATAAGTCAACATTTTCTTATGTTTTACTTCAGTGCTTTTGATATTTCTACATTCCGTCACAACCAAAAAAAAAGAAAACCCATAGATATGAATCTAAACTGGAGTCACTTTTGCACTTAGATTTAGGTTTACTTACCCTCTGCCATTCCAGAAGTATTACTAATACTAAGTCTGTTGCATCGAATTATTCTTCTTAGCACATGGGGAAGGAGAGATTTCAAGCCTCCTGTCAAAAACATCTCTTCAGCCTTAACAGGAAGATAATTATAAATTTAAACACAAAGCATATTTATTTTTTTGACATTTTAAATTCTGATTTGCTGGAGAAGTTAGCTTAAGTTTCTTCCTTGTGCTCCACCAAAGTTATTATCATTGGGAAGATCTAAGTTATAACCCAAAAGACAGATCCAAGCCAAGAGGTTATTTCACTGACATTTTATGACTAAATGCAAACTGAATTTTTCAATAAACTATCCAGACATGCGCTTTAACATTCAGGAAAAAATGCAAAGTTTTGCTGGCCTGTAATGTAAGAAGCAGATTTCTTTCCTCCCTGACAAATATTAATTTCCTGGAGTATTCTCTTGTCTAAAATGCATTGTAACTTTAAATTTGTAAAAGCACAAATGGGTTAACGTACCAAGCTATAATCTGTAGTGTTACTGCTCTGTTCAAAATGCTTTTAGACAATTAGCAATGCAACCCTCTGGTAAAGAGAGAACCATATTCAGAAAATGTAATTTTAATACATTCCACAGGTATTATACTTTTCAAATATTAGTTATATAGAAGTGAATACTCCTGTGGCTATTATTCCACTGGGAAAGCAGTCATACAGATGTTTAAGTCACTTGTACAATCTGGAGTAGGAACAGAAATAAGTATGCTAGTTACAATCAGTATCTAACTCTTTTTACATCTTTTGGAGATTTAAAATATCTTTTTTTCTGCAATCTAGTCAAAGTTTCCCCTCAACCTACATTACATAATAAATAAAAAGGGTTTATTACATCACTATTAGGAAAAAGTAAAAGATAGCTCAGGGTAAACTAATAACTTGGCTGCTTATGATTTTAACCTTGGTCACTTTTAAAGAAACTGATCTATCCTCCAAGTAATCAAAGTACCAACCTCCAAGTTTTTCTTTAATTCAGAAGAAGCCATTCTTGATGTAATTCATACGAAGTAATAAATACGATAGAAGCTGTGCTGCTCTTTTTAAAAGATGCCAGTAAATTAATGTACAATGAGATGTTACAACCTTCTAGCAAAAGTTAACTTTTCTGTTAGAGGTCCACAGTTTTTGTACGATAACTATGATAGTGCAAAGTTTCACTCTCACAGTGTAGTGGAGTACAAGTGAAGCACTTTATTGTGAAAACTTACACCTCTGAGCAACTCAATCCTCAATTGACTTGAAGTAAGAGCAGTGTTATGTTTTGACTGAAATTACACTCTCACCATAGGTTGTCTGTCCAAAATGTTTCCCAAAGGTTGTAGAATTCTGAGAGGTTAAATTGAGTGCACTGAAATTTAGAGTCAGCTTTGTATCTATTCTTAATTCTGAGAAATTTATATAACACTGTCACCTAAAATAAATCAGTCTGTTTTTTTTTTTTTCTGAACTCTGACTACTTTCTAACACATCTTTTTGATTTTTACATTATCACTCTGTATACTGCATAAAAAATAGTCTTCACTGCAAAATCATGAACAATTCCAAACACACATTTTAAAGATAACAAGAAATTTGATTTAGAAAAGTAGCTGAGCTCTAATCCAAGCCTATAAGTGTCAGTTTAAGAGACATTATTCTTACTGTAATAAGAATTTCTAACACCAGTCTGGAATTATTAATTCAAGAGGTTTCAAGTTAAATACAGTGATCCTAATAAAAAACTCCAGATGTATTCATTAGGTCCCTTCAGGAATTCTCATTCTTTTGGGAATTGTTTTTTTCACAAATTCAGGATTGTTTTTATTTCTGAGCATCTTTGAAATGATCTAAATCATCCATAGGATTAATGGCCTTAAGAACTCCTAGCTTACCTGGATTTGAAAGACAGTCTAAAGTTCAGGAAACTAGTTTGGGACAAAAGCTGTTTTCAGCTAGGTATTTTATCACAAATGTCTCGGTCTGATGTTGGGCAAGCCTGATTCTCCCCTCATAAAGTGTGTGCCCAGTAGCAGAAATGGAAGTACCTGTAAGATTTTATCAGCAAACATTTAGGGCCCTAAAAGTTTTAGGTTCATATGACAGCAAGGGGCTAAGAAGCTACAAGACTGTGAATATCAGTAGTGCCAAAATGTTGGCTGTAAGTACCTTACAGAAACACTTGAGCTGTGGTTCCTATTTGTGAATGTGGCCCCTGGCTGCAAAGCCACATACACTCTTGATGACTGGTTAGGAAGTGAATAATTTAAACATTAACTTTGTGTAAATCAGACTGAATCATCTCTTTCAGATGAGAGGTAAAACTCACGTTATGACTATTTGCTATCACTCAGGTTCCTGTGTTGATTTTATAAAACTATAGGGAAAATCCGATAGGATTAACATTCTGAGTTATAACTTTAGACCACTGTATTTGCTGTACAATATCAGTAATAGATTATACTGCTGTTTTCCTTTATTAGTTCTTAATTTGGGTAGATGATAAAAACTGCTAGATGCTCATAGTAAAACCTGGCTTTTCCTATTTGACTTCCTCAGGAATGGCTAGCTTCTATGCAGTATGTTATTTCCCTATGCTAGGGGCATCATCAGGTTTAGATTCCCCAACCACCCCTAGGACCTCCTGGAAAATCGTCTGAGCCATTGTGACCGTGGCCTTTTTGGAATGACAGGGGAGAAGCACCAAGATAACTCAGGTCTTACAGCATCTCTTCCACTTTGCCCCATCAGGATGGCTAGTGAAGCGCACAGGCTGGCTTCGGGGAGCCCTTGAGCAGCACTCTTAACTAAACAGTCTGGTACAGCTGTTAATCAGCTATCAGGATCTGTCCCCTGGTAGAGGTTTTTCAACTCCTTTCATTTTGTTCTGAGCTAATTACTGTTTTCTGAAACTGTCACAGTTATCTGATGGGGCCATGTTGGATCATGATACAGATAAGGACAGGGTGCAAGATAAGTGTTAAAAAGCCTTTAAGAGAGGATGCTGACAGAGCTTATGAGATGGCTGTTGTGCCTGAGGTCATCCTATGCGGTTTCCCCTTACTAAGGGACCCTATGATCTGGCTTTCCAGTCTGGGTTGCCTTTAATGTAATGAACCTCTAAAGCAGAGACTAGATATAGTCCTGGGTAACCAGCATTTGAAAATCAGGTCATTTACTGGCTGCATAATGACAAACTTCATACGTAAAGCATCCACTCTGAAAAACCTTGTTCTAAGTCACGTCGCTCACATCAGACTCCCTGACTTACCAACAACCATACTGTAAAGCTTTGTAGCACTAAAGTGTCAAGAACACTCTTAACGAGCCTTTCTTAGACATTTGGTTCCACATTAGAAGCACAATAAACACATTTATTTTTAGAGATTTACATGAAAATTCAACTTACTTCATGCGTATTTTGATTTTTACATAGTGAACTTAAATGAATAAATATTAAAATATATTGCTGTCTGACACATTAAAATGGAACTTACCCACTATTGATTTGTGGGCACTACCATATCCTGAGCTGCACTTCCAGATCTTGACAAGGATGGTGAGGCTTCAAAGCTGGAAAGACATGGTAATGTACAAGAATGATCTATAAGAATGATGTAAGGAGCTGTGTGATCAGACAATGATGGCAGTATGGCATATGCCACATCAGTAGTTTAGAAAAATGAATCACCTTGTCAGAAATAATATTGTATTGAAATGACGTTAAATTAAACCGAGAAATATATTCAGGAAAAGCATTTATTTGCATTAAAGTGGCATTCAGGAAGTGTAGAAATGTACCAGCTTTGGTAAAAGTTCTAAACGGATCTTGGGTCTGGTTTTTATAAGTAACATAAAATTGTTAGGTGGCATCTTCATTTCGTATATATCTAGGTAGCACCACTCCTGTAGAGTTAAGCAGATACACACTACCCGACGAATTTGGCTCAGCTGATTTGCAAAATATCCCATTACCTAGAAAACAACAATTTTCAGGAAGGCCACATTTGGAGGGTGAATATTTTTTTATTCAGAAATTGTGATGAATTGTTGCCACGTGAAGCTCTCGGTCATTAACCATTTCTCCATGCTGTTCCCAGCACACCAGCTGAGTACGGGTGGCTGTGGGCAACGAGGTGCTCATCTCTGCTGAGGTGATTGGAACAGGACTGTTTCTGAGCCTTAATAATAACTGATTGTGAAGAATATGTTCTATTTCCCCTGAATCCCACAACTCATGCTAGGAAAAAGGCATGTTGAAAGGAATGTTACTTTATCCTGTTAAAAGATCCTGCTGCTCTCAAGAGGCGTACCCTTGCCTGTCATATCACTTTGAGATTCACTAGTTTCTATCCTTAAACCTGGTCTGGTAACAAAGGTAGTTACTGTATATCAAGGTAAGAGTTAAATATTCAACAGTAATGTTTGGGAAAAGTGACCAATACCATGCACCTTTGCCAAATAATCTGCAACCCACCATGAACCAAGAAAAATGCAGTTCCAGACAAGATTTAATAAAGAGGTTGCCTTGTCTTTCAGATGACTTGTATGATGGACAGTCTCTTTGCACCACCCTATTGTTTGCATGTCCCAGCCTATTTATTGTTTCCTCCCTCTTTCTTTTGTTGAAAAAGAAAGTGTGCTTCTCCTTCTGCATTTTTAATCCCTGAGCTCAGACCTCTATCTCCATAACTTCAAGCTTCCTTGGTTTGTCTGATTGCATCCTCTGGCAATATACAAGTTTGGAGGCCTTCTCTCCTCTCACTAGCTCTTTTTCATTTATATACTTGCTGTATCTCTCAACTGTACATTCAAGTCTCTCTCAATTTTCAACCTTAAATGAGCTTTTCCTGTTCTCAGTCTGAGACAGAATAATCTAACTTTGGAAATCATAAAATACAATAAATGCAAAAATGGTTTCCTAGACTTGTAAGATGCAGACTCTTCTGAACCTCAATATCTGTGCTTATATGTAGATATATATATATATATATCCTCTTTTAATATTACAGATAGGCTTGGATTAAGCATAGTTTTTCTAATTTCCTCCTTAATTTTTGACGTTGGAACCACCACTAGCCTTGCAAAGTTATGTATCTTTACATTAAATTGTTGACTGAGCAATAGTTTATAAAGCATTTTTATAATCTGCAGAGCATAATCTCTTTAGAGAAAAAGAAGTGTAGTAAGTGAAACATTTTATATTACCTTAGAGCTTTCAAATGAAAAAGGTGAATCTGTAAATTTTGCAGATATTTAAATCTGAGCATAGATTCTTTCCAGGCCCACACTGTAAATTATTCATTACCCAAGAAAATGGAAAAATGTCATTTAAGTGTCAGAAAGACTACACTTAGAGATGCAGTAGGTGTGTCCATACCACTGTGCTAAACCACACCAGATAAAAATTGATTTTAAAAGTATATAATAACACAAAAGGATTAAAACATCCTTCAGAAGTGTCAGTGTGACTGCTTTGCCTTTACATGTGTCAAGTAAATTAATGAAATAAAACTAAGAGCATATAGTATTTCTGTGGCTTTAAAAATGGATCACCTGAGAATAAACAGCCTATAAAAAGTACTGCTGATAAGAGTAACAAACAAGTCAGTTTGGTGACTGAAAAGTAGTTAATACCAGTTTCTGATGACACAGATTACAGGTCTGTTTCTCCAGTGGTACTGATACACTAATATGGTTTAATGCAGTGACTTTTCAAAGCGTAATCTAGAGGCTTGTTTGTAAGGAGCCCAACAACTCTTACGAAATGCAATCTTGCATTGGTTATATCACTTTTGTCCTATTTTCAGTTTAAAGTTTGATAATAAGAATGGGTGGTGGCACGTACAGGTTCATTGGCCAAAAAAGTGCAGGGGTCACTGTTTAACACTGCTGGGCAGGTTTTTCTAGGTATTGTCACGCAGAGAGTTTACCCAGAGTTGCTGCTGCACTAACAGGAACAGCAGAGTAACTTGAAACTTGAGCCAGCCCACAGGCTGCCTTTACTGATACATAATGGAAAGCAATCTAAACTCATTATAATCTAAGAAACCCTTTGCGTACTATGCCTTGCTCTAGTACAAATATGGTTACAGAGGTTTGTTAACATAAACGTGGTTTAAAATGACCTGCTGTTTAATCATCGAGCTGATTTGAAATTCTGCCAATAGACTTCCATGAAAAGCACAAGGTCATCTGAAAATTTACTCCATTTGATTTTCCAACTGGGTCTCTCAGTTATACTTGTGATGTTTTATTTGAAGAATCAATTAATGATCCTTTTCCTCCCTGTCTGCTATGAATCATTTCAAAGCACAGAAGTGCTTTGCATATCATTCTGAGGAGGATCTGCTTTGTGTATTTTCAGACAGCAGCTCATCCAGCAAATTAAGATTTAACTTTACATTTGAAATACAGGGTATTTGCCTTTGAAGTTTATGCACCGTTAGATGAGGGCTGCAAACAGAAACTTAAATTAGTTTTCATTAGTGTCCTCTCTGCTGCTTAAAGTAGCTAGCCTATCCTCAAGGTCCTGCAGATTGCGTCAGGATGAGAAACTGATGAATCAATGTATCTTTGATGCAATCTTATTACTTGCAAAAAAAAAAAAAAAAAGACACACAACGTTTAGTTTATCCTGGTATATTAAGAACAAATAACAGAAAGCAATTACCAGTTCCAAAGCAGTCATTTCAGACAGCACTGCATGTTAGTGCAACATGCCTTGCACAGGCTCCCTGAACTTCCACCACTGCATTTGTATTATTTTACACTCAGCTCTGCTCTGGGATAAAATAAATTGTTTCTGGGCAGAGGCTAGAGAATGGTTCACACCAGGTCCCTGTCCTTGCACAGGCACAATCTATGCAAGATCTCAGTTGTTTAGGCCTTTTTATCCTGCAAAGGATAAGGCCTCATGACCTCATGCACCCTTCCAGCACCTTGGGACATATCCTAATTCCTGCATACCCTGCCCCATCATCTTACAAAAACACATAACCAACAAGATTTAGAGCAGCCACTTCACTTATGTGCACCTTTGGCAAGATGCAGTATACACGTAAGAGGAGACAAGGACCTTTATCGAGATTTTAAATTGCCACTTTCATGCCTCTGCTGACAGGAATACTCATCAGGTGCAGTAAGAAGAGACAGCAAATTATCTAGGTTGATTTCATATAAGATAATAAGAAATGCTTATTTAACTTCAAGAAAATTAAAAAAAAAAAAAAAACAAACAAACCATGAGGGTGTTATTTAAATATAGTTTCCCAATCTACACTGAGATACAGAAGATCTTTAGTATTGCTCCACCATTCTCTGGGCTGGGTCCAGACACCAGTTTTCTGTCTTGGCCTCTTCTAACACGGAGACAGCCGCGGACGCAGAGGCCTGGGCCTGCAGGCCACCAGCACCAGGCTCCCCCGGTCCCCCGAAGCAGCACAGGCCAGCCAGCAGAACACTGCACACTGGAGCCCAGGTGATGAGTACCGGCTGGATAAAAACTCCTAAAGTGAGGAAAAATTTTTCTTCCCGATCTTACTCATGCAGAATTAAAGTGGAAGTCCACAGGACAAAGTACAGTGACTTGCACTGCTTTGTTTGCAAGGCAGCAGCCACGGGTGCTTATTTTGATAAGAAAACATGTCACCGCCTAGGTTACACCCAGTCACATCAAGCATGGTCACAGGGCTGATGGGGTGCCCGTGCCTTCCAAGGAATTACATCTGGAGCTAAGCAGGTGAGTGATGTTCTGCTCTCTACACACCGTAAAAATAGTATCATGCTCCCCAGAAATGTGCCATGCTCCTGCTGTCAGGTCATTCAGGCTGCCCCCCAGGATTACGCCATTCCTCTGGGGTTCACATGTCTGCCAGCAGGTGTTAAGTCACTGCACCCACTGCTCCTCAGCAAGCAATTCTCCTCAGATATGGTCACTAATGGAATGATTGCAGCCTACGTATTTACACAAAGATAGTGTCCTTGAAATGTGCGTGCCTCAGTAGGCTGTGTCTGGGGGAATCTCCAGTGAATTGTAACTCTACAAACACTACCAAGAACAAACACCTTTGCCTCCGCAAATAGCTGTGATAGAGAGATACTAACTTTTGCTGTTCCACTGCTTCCTTCAGCTCTTAGACCAAGAAGTACTGTGAACAGTTTCAAAGGACTGAGCACCGTTTCCCTGATGGAACCCCTGGCTTAAGCAGTGCTATTTGGCTAACCAGGTGAATCAGTGGCAAGCTCTGCAAGAATACCTCACTGCAACTTTCAGGAGTAGGTATAGACAAAGTGCTGTTAGCAGCTGTGCTATGTGATGGCAAAAGGTATGTGCTTGGACTGCTATTTTATCTTGAAGCATCCACACAGCCTGTATATTAAGTGCTAATCCGCATCAAGGATGCCTGGACAGCTTTGTTCTGCAGCACCCATTCCAAATGGAAAGGCTCCATGAAGCTTCAGACAAGTTACAGCTGCATTACTATGTTTTCATTACTTCATACCTGACAACTACTATAGTTGTCATAATGATCTGGAAACTGCCCCAGGCACCTGCAGACACATTTGTACTC